GTTTTTATTGCTGAACAAAAAACTTCTCCATTTTCCCATCTGCTGCTTTGCAACTGAGAGAACAGGAAGACAATTTTGAAAACAGGCTCCGTTTTAAAGCTTATGGGTGGGGGGAACCTTAAGCCACTGGCCGGACTGGAGACATTGGAGCCTTTCTATAGGTCGCCCCGTGTATGGGACTCCTATCCAAATGTCTGTGGTTAAACAAGGCAGGCGGTGAGTGTATTTGGCCCCCATTTCATGACCTTACTTGCCACGGTTGTTAAGCGAATCGCCACCATTAATAGGTCAGGCCCACGGTTGTTAAGCGAAACCGCCTTCCTCCCCCTTGACTTCGCTCATCTGAAGGTTGCAAAATTGGATCCCTGACCTCGGGACTCTGCAACCGACACAAGTACATGACAGTTGCCAAGCCTCTGGATTTGGTTCACCTGATTGTGGGGATGCCGCAGAGGTCGTAAGTGTGAAAAATGGTGCTCGGTCCCTTTTTTTCAGTGTCCTTGTAACTTCGAATGGTCACTAAATGGGTCGTAAGTTGTAAGTCGAGGATTATCTATACTGGCCAGACTGAGCCTTGATGATGGGATCCGTTTATCGGATATTGGCTAGCTTCAGATGTCCTTTGATAATTGTGGTTCCTGAATTGTCCAAGATTTCTGCAGCGCTTCAAGGTTTTCAGTTCCTTCCCATTTCACGGAGACACACAAATCTGCACACACAAAAAACCTTCCTGGGTTCAACAAGAAAGGAGAGAGAATGTTTTACGGGTGGCATTTTCCGCTAGCAAGGCTTACTAAAATGTTCAAAAACGTATCTCCAAAATGTCGGAAGTGCAAAGGTGTATCACGCACATTCTTTCACATGTGGTGGACTTGCAATGTTGCAAAAAATATATATATTGGAGACTAATATTCAGACATGGGTGGAACAAATGGTGGGAGCATGTATTCCATTTAAGCCGGAATTTTTTCTCCTAGGAATAATACCAGAAGGATATAGGAAGGATTTAATTTATCTAATCGTACATGTATTGATGGCAGCTGAAGGAATTACTACGGCAGCCAGGGATGACTAATTGCAGACTTCTACCAGATAATAGCAGCAACCACAATTAAGAGGAAGCTAAAACACCAATAAGCTCCGACAAGAATAATGCACGCTTTGCTTCCAGCACTGGACCATGCAGAGTTTGTCCTTTTAACCAGTCCTTCCAGCTGCAGCCAATGAAGGGGATCAGGGCCCCTTCCTCCCCCGTAGACCATGCCAGTCACATTGCTCCCTTATCCGCTCCTCCCTGCATGCCCTAGGATGAAGAGGGGCTGGGTCTTCCTCTGAATGCCCAACTGGACTGTACCCTTCCCCAGTTTCCTCCACAACCACCGGAGCTACACTCTCACTCCTTGTCAGCTGTTCCGTCTCTCCCTCGGAGTCAGACTCCCTCAGAGGCATGTCACCTTTGGCAGCCAATCAAAGTGTCCTTTTTTGTGTGCATAAGGTAATCTTTCTTTCCACCGATATATAGAATAACATCAAAAGTCCTGAATTTGGGTCCAGCAGCTTTAGGAAAATCTTGCGTGGATTTATTGGCAGATGATATTAAAAGAATGGGAATGATGGCTCAAGTTCCAATATTTTGAAAAGGGGAACAAGCTCTCTAAATGGTCTCTTGGATGCTGCTCCAACAATTTTTCTCCAACAGCTAAGTCTAAAATGTGGGGCAGTTGACAAGAGTTGTGACAGGTTTTCCCAGCAGAGCTGACTGCCACATTGTAAGCTCTATATCAAAGGTCCTCAAACTTGGCAACTTTAAGACTGGTGGACTTCAACTCCCAGAATTCTCCAGCCAGCTCTGCTTCTGGGAGTTGAAGTCCACCAGTCTTAAAGTTGCCAAGTTTGGAGACCCCTGGTCTATATGGATTATCAGATGATGACTACAAAATTCAGCTGTTTTTCTTCCCTCTGGCCAATTTCTGGGTGTCAATGCTTCGGTTGGCTATGACAGGGGTCCCCAACCACCGGTCCGCGGACCGGTCCCGGTCCGTGGAACAAGTCCTACCGGGCTGCTGGCTTGCTGGGCGCCACCATCTTGTTTTGATGAAAAAGTGCTTCCGGTGAGCTTTTCCGGGTAGAAAGCTCACCGGAATCACTTTTTCATCAAAACAAGATGGCGGCGCCCAGCTGATGTCGGTACCGGGCCGCGGCGTAAAAAAGGTTGGGGATCACTGGGCTATGACATCTTTCTTGGTCTCTGTAGTCCAGCAGTTTTGTTGGTCGGCATTTGCATTATAGACATCCTCCTCCTCCTCCTCCTCCTCCTCCTTCTTCCTTTCTTCTTCTCCACTAAACCATCTTGGGTAGGTGACCATCACCTTCTTCTAGACAGATTGTCCCCCTTGTTTACTCACCCAACTGCTGTTATTAGTTAATTAGCTAATTAAGTGATTCATCAATTGGCCATGGCGAGACATAATGACAAAGGCAGGTTATTAGCTTCCCATGAGTTATTTTAAATTAGGGCGGGTTTTTTTACAGAAGGCCACATGATGGTTTGAATTATGTGGACATAATTCTTATTCTCTTTGGACAAGGGAATAAAGCTGCCTCGATTTCTCTTTAGGTATTGAGAAAATGCCCGTGTTTTGCTCCCTATGAGCATCAAGCAAAGACAAGATGCTGCCACGAGGGGGCGCCATCAAACCATATTTGGATATATGCATGCATATAAAACTTTTATTTTAACCTTGGTTTGTGTTTGTGTGTGTTTATGTACATACACACAAACACAAACCAAGGATAAAATAAAAATTGCTGTATCTTCATGACTCATTATTTGGGAGAAATTCTGCTCCTTAATTCTGCTCCTCTCCAAATTATGGTTAAAAAAAAGAAATATCTGGTGTCCCCTTTTTTGGGACTAACGATTTTATTAAAAGGCAAAAGGGTTTAAATTAGGACGAGGTGGGGTGGAAAGGAAAAGGAGGTAAATAGATGTCATCCCAGTTCAAATTTTGTATCAACCTAGGCATTCTCTGGCTAGGTTCTCTGTGAATCTCCTGCCATGGGCTGGACTAGAAGACATCTAAGGCCCCTTCCACTCTTATTATTCTGGCTCTGTTGCCCACAAATGCTGACGGCTTCTATAAAAGTTGATGATTGGAAAAGAGACTAGCAGGTTCTGATTTTCTTACCAAAGGCAGTGAAGCAAAGGGACCATGGAATAGATCTCTTTTGGTCTTACCTCATCTTCCTGAGGTCCCATAAAATGGGCCCTGTGCATAGCACATGAGGGGATTTCCTCTGGGTCTCCTCTTTTCTCCTTCTTCCATCCACAATCATCTTTCCTGGCAGGATCTTTCTGCCCTTCGGAATCCACCGATAGAACAATTTATATTTTTCATCCCTTCCCTTCTTCCCATAAGTGACCACGCCCATCCACGCAGCCAGTTTTAGTGGTGTGGTAGACTAGAAGTGGAACTCTCGCCTCCCAATCAGGAGGCTGTGAATTCGATCCTAGTTAAGAGGCAGATATTTCTCGCTCTGGGCACGGTGAGAATTTATCTGCTGAATATATAACTCCGTACTGGTAACAGGAAGGGCATCCAGCCAGGAAATACTCTGCTCCATTCAGTTCCCTCGATTCCACCCCGTAAGGGATTATGGGGTCATTAAATGACAAACATCCACACCACCAGTTTCTTCTCATCCGTCGATGCCAGAATTCTTTGCCTCCTGAGCTCTCGGACTCCGATCACCCCTACATCGGCAATGCAATTCCCTTGCACTTTCTTAAACCACTAAACTCCGTAACATTTAAAATAGGAAAAACACACGCCAGAATAATGGTGTGTGTGTGTGTGTGTGTGTGTGTGTGTGTGTGTGATGGAAAGGAATTAGAGTCTAAGAGAAATGGCTTTCTCAACTGTGGTATTCCTAATTATGACCACTAAAACCAATGGGGAATGAATGGCGTAACCAAGAACGAAAGAACCTATGCAAAAGAAACAATGTTTTAATTGAGAACTTATTCGAGCGTGAAAAGTATAATCCATATTTCTTTGCAATATCAAAGATGGTCAAATGGATGTGGACTTTGAAAAGGAAAGGGGAAAAGGAAAGGATTTAGTTTTACTAGAATAACCATGCTTTCTTTTTTAAAAGAAAAGGCACTCTCCTTTTTGGTTTTATCTTGTTTTGAATTTTCTGGAGGACCTACCTTATCCAAAGGACCGATTGAGTCAGTGGTGGTATTCTACCGGTTTGGCCCAGTTCAGCCGAACCAGTTGCTCCAAGGATCAAGCACCTGCTCACACCAAATCGGTAGGAAAAAATTTTTTGAAACCCACCACAGAATTGAGTGTTTCTGAACCTGCTTTTTCTGCATTAAAAGGTATGCAACTCCTAACCAATCCATCTTTCCTTTCCGCTCTATAACACTAAGTATTTACTGGCCTCCAGAAAGCACTGAAGATATAAAGGAACTCATGGGCTCATTAAAATATAATTATACCCCCTGTCTTTAATTAGTTTTTTTTTTTTGCAAAGGTGCTGCTAGCGTGCTTCAAACCGCAATGCGTGAAGTCGTGTTTTCCAACCTGCTGGTTGATCCAAACACATTTCATCTTATTAAATGATTAAACTTTCTGACCTTTGGAAGTCCCAGTACTGAACAAGGCCTCATTGAGGGTGTCATAAAAATTAACATGGCATCAACTGGATCCTCCTTAGCTCGCCCTTCCAAGGTCTAACCCGCAGGGAGTAAAGACTAAACATGGGTACAGCAGCAAATCAAAAAGCAATTGGCTGCTACACCTTTCTTCAACATTTAGGTGTCACAAATTCACTTTTGCATCGGTAATAAATACCCTTAGTGATGATAGGAGAACAGCCAGGGAAAAAATGACAACAACACAACTGCAAAGCTAACGCAGCCAGAAGTTTGATGAACGAAAACGAGGAACGTGAATTCCCGAAAAGGAGGAGTTTATCTCCTTGGCGGGAGTTTACTCATCGGTGGCTTGCAACCGTTTTCGTAATTCTTCTGCTTCTCCTTCCAGATGTTGCATTTTCAAACGCCACTGCCTTCTCTCCAACTCCAGGTTGTTAACTTGGCAACGCAGCCGTTTGAGAACTGCTTCGGATCTCTTGCGCTGCAGCTGTTAACGGCAAGAATAAAAGGACAGCACTGAGAAAGGCCTGAGAAAGATTAGAGCAGTACAGGGGGGTTTCAAAAAAAATGTGCAGATTGCAGCAGGAAAGGTTGGCCTTTCCTGTGGAAGGTGTTAGAATAAACTCGACGAGGGCAGCGCGACTTATTGCCGAGTAAATAGGCGCTGAATAGTTTGGGAAGGAATTAAAATTAGAATTAAAATGGAACTAAATCTCACGTCTGAAATGTATCCAGATATGCAATCCAGGGCATATCTACTTAGAAGTACAAAAAAAATTAAAAGAACAGAAAAATAATACAGGGCATCTGTTCAGCACAAAACGCAGATAATAGTAGATCATAACATTCAACAGAAAATGTCTCTTTATAAGTATCCATAAAACTAAAACATCCCGTGAAAATAGCACTAGATTTTATCCATCAGAATACAAAATGACAGAGTTGGAAGGGACCTTGGAGGTCTTCTAGTCCAACCCACTGCTTAGGCAGGAAACTCTACACAACTTCAGACAAATGGTTGTCCAATCTCTTCTTTAAAACTTCCAGTGTTGTAGCATTTACAACTTCTGGAGGCAGGTCGTTCCACTGGTTAATTCTGCTCACTGTCAGGAAATTCCTCCTTAGTTCTCAGTTGCTTCTCTCCTTGATTGGTTTCCACTCGTTGCTTCTTGCTCTACCTTCAGGTGCTTTGGAGAATAGCTTGACTCCCTCTTCTTTGGGGCAGCCCCTGAGATATTGGAAGACTGCTATCCTGTCTCCCCTAGTCCTCCCTTTCATCAAACTACACATACCCAGTTCCTGCAACCGTTCTTTATACTGTATGTTTCAGCCTCCAGTTCCCTAATCCTCTTTGTTACTCTTCTCTGCACTCATTCCAGAGTCTCCACATCTTTTCAGTATCCTGGTGTGGTGTGTGTGTGTGGTGACCAAACCTGAATCCAGCTTTCCAAGTATGGCCTTTCTCAGTTTTGGGTCACTGTGCTACAGAAGTATATAAATCTGAAAAATTCTCCCTCTACTGCCATTTCTAATCTGACACTTCTAGGTCAAAATACATTTATTGTTTAGATGCTATGATGATAGATGTTTCTTGGATTCACACTGTCTCTTTCAATGCAAGTGAATTATCCATTTAGCTGTGAAAACTGTTGTAGAAATAACACCCTCAGCCGAGCAGATTTAAATAATAAATTCAGCCTAACATGGCTTCCATTGAAAAGCCTGCTAAAGAGATTCAACTTTACCCATTTTTTTCTGAACACTGTGGGGGAAAATGAAGCCGTACGGAATTAGTGATTGAGTAAATGGTACTGCGTGGAAACAGGAGAGGAGAAAATTTGGTTTATGTGCGAGAGAAGTAGATCTTTTGGCTTCCTTTGAAAGATTTTGGAGATCTTCACAGCTGAGACAGATTTGAAAAGGTGCCTTTGAGTACCGAGTGCGAATTTCAGCACTTTAAATTATGTTTAAAGTGGCAGCCGTTGTATTTTCTCAGAACCTAACGTGAAAGATTTTATAATTTCATACTGGGATAAAATGAAGTAGCTACTTTTATTCTTCTGCGATAAAGACGCTGGCATTTTAGGGATGCATTTTAAAAAACATTGTTATTCCAAAATGCATACATTTAAGAGCACTTTTAAAAAAAAAGAAAAGATAGATGAGATTCAATAATTGTAGAGATGAAAACTCACCTCAATTTCTTTCTGAAGCGTAGCCTGTCTGCTTTTTTCATCTCGAACGGCGTTCTCCTTCTCACCAACGGCCTCTTTCAAAACCGTCATTTCACTTTGCAGACAAGAGATTTCATCCTGTGGCAGGGGATGCAAAAAAGGGAACTTCAGATAATCAGAGTTGGAAGGGACCTTGCAGGTCATCTAGTCCACCCCCCCCCCCCCGCCGCCGCCTAAGCAGGAGACCCTACACATATACAGAGACACGGTAAAATAAATCGGATAATATTTGGGAAGAAGACATGATGTGAAAGCAGAAATGTTTTCATGTGGGTTGATAATTAGAAGGGTTTTAATTTTTTTTCTGTTCATATTTGTTGACATGGGAGTGATCACTTATATTAGCACCAATTGGAAACTACAGGCTGTTACTCAAAGCTGAAAAGGATCTATTTAAACCTGGAAGAGAAAAAGGAGATAAGTAGGAAGATTGGGCTCCTAAAGAACCAGAGAAGTGTCGGATAAAAACACAGCCCACGTTTATTTTCTCTTGTTCAGAATCCACATATATAGAAGCAAAATACCCCTCAGGCATCATCACAAAATCTCCAGAACCGTAAAGCCTACAAATGTGAAATTTGGCCCATATGTTCCTCTTGGCTTCTAGGGGCTCACTAAGAAAGGATTTTTCCAAATGACCATCAGAGCATTTAGAGTATTTCCTATAGTATTATTATTAACACGCTCTGATGCTAAGGAGTTCTACTCCCCCTCCCCACCTGAAAAGAAATCTCTTCCAAATGCAAAACACAAGCAGAGGAGAGGAGTTTCAGTTTCAGTTTCACAGCACCAAGCAGCTTTAGTACAGAACAGTTGAGCTAAGCCACGCCCAGGCTCCTTGCTGTCTCCTTGCTCACACAGAAAATACTGCTTCAGTTTCCAAACAGCCCTCAATTTTCCTCACACAATGACAGGATGCTAGCCAGGTGAATACCGATGGATGCTGGTAGGCAGAGGCAGAATTTTTCCCCCTTATTTTCCTCCCCAAAAACTAAGCCCGACTACATAGTTTTGTAGTGAAGCATGGGTATCGAGCTACTATACAATAGTTTCTGATGATGTTACATAGTTGGATAATGAAATGTCTGTAAGCAAACACCTAAGAGGGTACCAAGGACACCACAGTTTTCCTCCTCCTCCTCCTCCCCCTCCTCCCCCTCCTTCTTTCTGCAATCCTCACTCCTTTTTAGCACTGATGATGTTACCTAGTTGGGTAATGAAACGTCTGCAAGAAAACAACCAAGCTCAAAGAGCACGAAGGGCTTTACATAAAATAATAATTTTAAGTTGCATGAAGACAGATTCTACTGAATGTTAGGGGGAAACACTCGTCAACAGTAAGAACAATTCACCAAGTTGCACCTGTGCAGAATACTTTACAAGGGAATGCACCTTAAGTACAGGTAGCCCCTCAGCTTATGACCACAATTGCGTCCCAAATTTCTATCGCTAAGCAAGACCGTTGTTAAGTGAGTTTTGCCCTATTTTATGACATTTCTTGCCACCGCTGTTGAGTGAATCATTGTACACAATATACAATGACTGTGTTTACACACAATACTTACTTGCGTTAGGTTAAAAACGTCACTTTGGACGAGCTTGTTAAAGGCCAAAGTTCTCATTGGACAAAGCGTGTAGTCATTAAGTTAGTAACATGGTTGTTAAGTGAATCTGGCTTTAGTCCTGTCAGAAGGTCACAAAAGGGGACACTGGAACCATCATAAATATGAGTCGATTGTCAAGCGTCCAAATTTTAACCCCATGAATCTTCGTTTACTGACCGTTTGAAGTCACAACGGCACCGAAAAATGTGATTTGTGGCCGATTTTCATACTTACGATGGCGGCAGGATCATCAAAATCGGTCACAAATCACCTTTTTTTCCAGTGAAAGACAAAATAATCGCAAAGGACAACAACCCAGACCTGGACTTGGCCAACCGTAGCCTCTTCTTCTCCTTCTTGAAGAGAAGCCAACAGCTCTTCCTTCTTCTCCATCAGCTGCTGGACGGTGGCCCTTTTTCTCGCCAGCTCCACCACAAAAGGCAATTTGCTTTCTGCTTCCTCAAACCGCTTTCGGTGGGCGGCCATTTTCTCGGAGTAAGCCCGGTTTCCTAAAACCTTCGTTTCTGAGTCTTCTTGGAGAGCCTCAACCTCCTGGGTCAGCTTCACGTTCTCGCCGTGTGAGGCTGCGATTTGAGCCTCCAGATCTTCACAGTGGCCTCTGGCGGCGGCGAGGGCTTCCTCCGAGAAGTACCTTTGCCTTTCCACGGCCTTTCTTTCGGCTACAACCGAGTCCCTCTGGATCTCAAGATCCCGAAGCTGGGCCTACAGAGGAAAAAAACATGGCGGGGCTTAAACCCGTGAATGCTGAAAAGGAGTCGAACATTTGAGGTGAACATGTCCAATACACCTTTCTCGTCTTGTTTTCCCCGTGAACAACAAGCCGGTGAGGTGGGTTGGCCTGAGAAAGAGGGATTGGTCCAAAATTGCCCAGCTGGCTTTC